TGTGTGTAATGTATGTGTGTCTTTTTGAATTGTGCATGGATATGTTGTGTGTTGCAGAGACATGTACATATACTAGGATGCAGACATGCATATGCAGGTATATTGTGTATATGTCCGGAGGGTGTTAACACAACAGCCTGTATTTAAACCCCCTTCCCTGAGACTGGGGCCCAGGGCCACCCCCCACAACATTGTCCAGGTGAGTCTGAGCTTCTCTCCTCTCATACACTGACCCTCATGTCTCCATCATGTGTTTTCCCTAGATGTGCATGGGCCCCAACACCCAACACCTCACACTCTGCCCTCTCCAGCCCCGGTACACGGACCCATGAAGATGCTGAGCTGACAGACAGCAGGTGACAGCATCCTAAGGGCACCTGAGCATTGGAGAAGGCCCTCCTGTTGTTGCCCAGCTTCCTGCCCTGGGGACAGGGCTCACAGTCCCCCAGCAGGCTCTGCTGGCACATTTCCCCCCATAACTGCCACCCTCCCAAGCCCAGGGGAAGGACGTAGCACCCATTTGCTCAGCTGGGGAAACTGAGGATCAGAGAGGTAGAGGGACTTGCCCAGGGACACTCAGCTGGCAGTGGCTGCACTGGGTCTTTTCTGCCCCGACCCTTCCCGGTCTCCTTTCCTCCCTCCCTCCTTCGTTATCACCTCCTCCCTGCTCCTCAGGGTCCCTGCCCAGGGCACCACAACTTCCTGATTTGAGAATTTTTCAATTTATCTTCTGTTTGTGTCTGACCTTAGCTAACCTCTTGCAGCGCTCACCCCAGGCCGCCCAATCTGAGACCAGGGGCCAGCTTCCCTTTGCCCTCATTGCATTCTAATAACCAACAGTGGTCATTTAGACTGGAAGCTTCTCTGGAATTCAGTTCTTTCTCCATCTTTCCTCCATGACTTTATTCTGGGCCATCCTGTTCCTGATTATGTGACCCCATGTCTTTCTGACCAATCCCCAGACTTCTGTCCCACCCACTCCAAGGCCTGTGTGAGCCTCCATGGATGGGCCATTTGGTCCTGAAGGGAAAGGATAGGGGAGGGATCTTGGTGCTTGAGCTCATGGGGCCAGAGCTCTGTGGGTGAAAGTGGGAATGGTTCTGTGGTTTGTGCTCTACCTGGGCACCACCTCTGCAGCGAGAGGGTGGAGGCGGAGCTGAGGGGATACAATGGGAAACCATGGCCTCAGGGATTACTGGGCCCTGTGTACTGTTCCTAAGTGCAGCCTGGAAACTTCTATCTTCAGCCCCATCCCAGCCCTGAAACCCAGAGTCAGCGTCCAACTGCTACTCAACAGATCCACCTGGATGTCTAACTGGTCACCTCAACACCCCACATGAGCATCAAATTCCTAATTTCCTCCCAAACCTGTTCCTCCTCCACTCATTCTGCTCCATCCAGGCTGCCCATCACACAATCACAGGGGCTGTGAGCCCTGGAGGTGCTGTGGTACAGCAGAAAGAGCAGGGAGCCCTTGGGATTGAATCCTCTTCTACTTCTTAAGTAGCTGTGTTTTGCTAAGAGGGGAAAGAGGTAAGGATGTGCCCAGATTTTACATAACATGTTTTTGAGCTCTTACAGGGGTCACAGACCTTGAGCATCTCTTGCTCGGCTCTCTGGGGCCTTAGGAGACCTGTCATGGTCCAGGGTTGGCCCAGACTTTCCCTGACAGCACACAGTGCATCAGGAGCTGCCTTTAGGGTGGGTCTTAGAAGCAAAAGATCCTAAAGGGATAGAGGTGGCCAGAGCCCCAGAGGTCCTCCAAACATCCCCTCCTTCTGCACATGGGGAAACTGAGGCCAGAGAGGAAGTGACCTCTTCAAAGACCCGGAGTGAATCAGGAACAGACCAGAGATTTCTTCTCCGACAACCTGACTCCCAGTCAGCTGGAAGCAAAGAGCATAATTTTGCCTCGTTCCTGGTAAGTTTTTCTTCTGGATGCAAAGCCCTCTTTTCCCCTATCTCCCAAGCAGATGTCTAGGAGTGAGAAGGAGCCCACTAGAGAGGGCCTTACCTGCCGGCTGCGGGCCTTGCCATATCTCAGATCGGTGACAAAGTGCTCTGAGTTCCTGCTCAGATCACTGTACTCCATCTTCTTACCAACCATCTCCTTCCCAGAACTGATCATCTCATGTATGGGCCGTGGTTTGTACAGGTGGTCCAAGTGGTTGTTGACCTCATAGGAGCAGTTTCCCAACACTTCCACCAGGAGCTGCCTTTTCACCACCCCTAAGCCGGTGGGGGCGCCAGCCTCAGAGTTCTCCCCTGGAATCAGACACAGGAGTATCAGGAACTGCAGGGGGAGGCCAGGGAGGGAGAGAGAAGACACAAGACAGGGAAGAAGGGCCAGGGGATGACACTATTGAGCTTTGGTGTCTGTCCCTTCACCAATGTGATTGGAGGATTCACGGATTTTACTCTTTTTACTTAATGAGCTGTGAATACTTTTTCAACCTCATGAATACTGTGGTGCTCAGTGGCTGCGATTGTGCTTCCTTATATGCACGGACATTGTCCAGTTGACCATCCACCGTCACTGATTCTTCTTCTTTATGAGACTGTGGGGCCCAGAGACGCGGCTGTTTTAATGAAATCTATCGACACGCCCAGCTCAAGAGCACGGAGCTGAAGAGCTCCTAATGCTGACGTAGCTGGAGTTACCGGGGGCCCACGGACCACTTTCCGTGCTGTGTGAGGGGCTGTGAAACCACTGAGATGCCTCCAGGGACACGGATGTGCAGTGAGCAAAAGACCTGCCCAGGGAGAAACCAATGGGGGTTCCCAGGATGGCATTTGGCTTTGAATTGTTCTCTTTATGGTAACAAATCTTTGCTAAATCCTACTTTCAACCCCCCTTACCTGGGGGAGCCAGGTGGATCACATAACCATCGCCCACATAGAGGGCCCAGTGTGAGTAGCCGATGCGGGGAATCTCAATCAGGTCTCCAGGCTTGGGCTCTGCACGAAACTGCAAGAAAACAGCCAGGAATGTGAGACAGATTTCAGAGAAGCTGCAGAGTCTCCTGCATAGGGATTTGCTTACTGATGCTCACCCCATGGGAAGCACGTGTGTGTGTGGAGGACTCTAGTCCCCTGTGAGGTCCTCAGCGTGCTGTAGCTTCTAGAGGTTGCCTTGTGAGTAACTGGAAGCCTGGAAGAATGTCCTTGTGCATTGGGAGAGTGAAGATTTGTCCAGAATGTGTGTGTAATGTATGTGTGTCTGGGTGTATTGAGCATGGATATGTTGTGTGTTTCATGTACATACACTCACACTAGGATGCAGACACGCATATGCAGGTGTATGTATGTGTCTGGAGGGTGATAACACAACAGTCTGTATGTAAACCCCCTTCCCTGAGGTCGGGGCCCAGGCCCATCCCCCACAACATTGTCCAGGTGAGTCTGAGCTTCTCTGCTCTCACACTCTGACCCTCATGTCTCCATCATGTGTTTTCCCTGGCTGTGCATGGACCCAACACCCACCACCTCACACTCTGCCCTCCCAGCTCCGGTACACGGACCCTTGAAGATGCTGAGCTGACAGACAGCAGGTGACAGCATCCTAAGGGCACCTGAGCATTGGAGAAGGCCCTCCTGTTGTTGCCCAGCCTCCTGCCCTGGGGACTGGGCTCGCAGTCACCCAGCAGGCTCTGCGGGCACATTTCCTCCATAACTGCCACCCTCCCAAGCCCAGGGGAAGGAAGCAGCACCCCTTGCTCAGCTGGGGAAACTGAGGCCCAAAGAGGCAGAGGGAGCTGTCCAGGGACACTCAGTTGGCAGTGGCTGCACTGGGTCTTCTCTGCCCCATCATGGTCTCCTTTCACCCCTTCCTGCCTTATCACCTCCTCCATGCTCCTCAGTGTCCCTGCCCAGGGCACCACAGCTTCCTGATTTGAGAATTTTTCAGTTTAAGTTGCTGTTTGTGTCTGACCTCAGCTAACCTCCTGCAGCGCTCACCCCAGGCCGCCCAATCTGAGACCAGGGGCCAGCTTCCCTTTGCCCTCATTCCATGCCAACATCCAACAGTGGTCATTTAGCCTGGAAGCTTCTCTGGAATTCACTTCTTTGTTCATCTTTCCCCCATGACTTTATTCAGGGCCATCCTGTTCCCGATTATGTGACCCCACATTTTGCTGACCAACTCCCAGACTTCTGTGCCACCCACTCCAGGGCCGGTGTGATCCTCCATGGTGGGGACATTTGGTGGTGACTGGGGTCACAGAGGAAAGGGCTTCTGTCCTGGGCTCCTGGGGTCAGAGCTCTGGGGGTGAAAGTGGGAATCGCTCTGTGGTTTCGTGCTCTCCCTGGGCTCCAGCTCTGCAGAGGGAGGTGGTGGCAGAGCTGAGGGGAGACGATGGGAAACCATGGCCTCAGGGATCACTGTGCTCTGTGTACTGTTCCCAAGTGCAGCCTGGAAACTTCTATCTTCAGCCCCACCTCAGCCCTGAACTCCACACTCACACCTCCAACTGCTACTCAAAATCTCTACCTGGATGTCTAACTGATCACCTCAAACACCCCACCTGAGCATCAAATTCCTTATTTCTATCCTAAACTGCCACTCCTACTCTTATTCTCCTCCATTTAGGCACCCCTATGACCCAATCACTGAGGTCCAGCCCTGGAGATGCTGTGCTTCAGCAGGAAGAGCAGGGACCACTGGGGTTTGAATCCTACTAGCTTGATTTGGTAAAAAGGCAAGGAGGAAGGGGTTAAAGCTGTGCCCAGATCTTACATTATTGGGTTGGATAGAGGAGGAGAAAGCACCCATTTCTTCACATAGGAAATGAGATTCAGAGAGGTAGGGGGACTTGCCCAAGAACACTCAGCTAGAATTGGCTGCACGGCGTCTTCTCATAAGAACCTTCTTGAACCCTTACACAGGCCACAGACCTTGAGAATCTCTCATTAGAGTGCTCTCTGGAGCCTTAGCAGATGTGTCATGGTCCAGGGTTGGCCCAGACTTTCCCTGACAGCACACAGGGGCATGAGGAGCTGCATTTAGTGTGGATCTTAGAGGCGAAGGATCCTAAAGGGATAGAGGTGGCCAGAGCACCAGAGTTTCTCCAAACATCCCCTCCTTCTGCACATGGGGAAACTGAGGCCCAGAGAGGAAGTGTGCTGTCCAAAGACCCAGAATGGATTAGGAGCAGACCTGAATTTTGCTCTCAACACCTAACTCCCAGCCAGTGGAACCCCAAGAACCCATGTTTGCATCATTCAGGGTAATTTTTCTTCTTGGTAGTTAGGTCCGTCCCCCCATCCCAAGCAGACCTCCAGAAGGGAGAGGGAGCCCCCCACAGGGGGCCTTACCTGCCGGCTGTGGGCTTTGCCATATCTCAGATCAGTGACAAAGCGCTCACAGTTCCTGCTCAGATCACTGTACTCCAACTCCTTACCAACCATCTCCTTCTCAGATCTGAGCATCTCCTTTATGGGCCGTGGTTTGTACAGATGGTCCAAGTGGTTGTTGACCTCATAGGAGCAGTTTCCCACCACTTCTGCCAGGAGCTGCCTTTTCACCACCCCTAAGCCGGTGGGGGCGCCAGCCTCAGAGTTCTCCCCTGGAATCAGACACACGAGTATCAGGAACTGCAGGGGGAGGCCAGGGATGGAGAGAAGATACAAGACAGGGAAGAAGGGCCAGGGGATGACACTATTGAGCTTTGTTTCTGTCCCTTCACCAATGTGATTGGAGGAGTCAATGATTTTGCTCTTGTCCTTAACAAGCTGTGAATACTTTTTCATGTTAATCAATGTTGTGATGGTCAGTGGCTGCCACTGTGTTCCATTATATGAATGGACATCATCTAGTTGACCAAGTCCCTAGTATTGGCTGGTCCCTAGCTTATCCACCGTAAACAACGGTAGTAAATTGTATTTGTTCATCTTTGCACTTGTGTGTTTCAGAAAGAGATCAAAGTTGTTTTAGTCCCACTGTGTTTCAGACTCTGCTGTGCAAATTTCATATATTCCCTCACTTATTCTCTTTTTGAATTTCATGGTAAATTCTCTCATCTCTGTTCAGCAACCGATACTGGACCATGAGGTATCATCAGCCTTTTCTGGCCCAGCTCTGGCCACATGGAGAGTCCACACAGCACTTCCAGCTGGTGGCGTCCAAATCCCATTGAGCCTGGAGCCCGGGTTTTGCTCTCTAAGAGGAGGGAACTAAAGAGCACGCGAACCAGCAGGCTCCTTTATGTGCTGAGTCTGAGGCTGAGGCTGCACTGAGCACCCGTCCTTGAGGAAACACCACCTGCACTCACACAGCAGGACCCGGTCCTCACACTCACGCTCCCTGTTCCCAGCCTCCTAAGTGTCGTCTGCATTAGGTGGGTTTCGCTTACTATTTGCCATCCATTCTGACAGTTTTCCACTCTGTCAGTGTAGGTGACAGCGTACAGAACCTGGTCAGTGACAAGCAGATTCTTCTGATCGTGAGACGGTTTTTGTCCAGCGAGAACGCAAACGCTTGCTGTCCGAGGTGTGGGTGCCATTGCTCTGCAGGGCACTAGCCCCTGTGCTCCCAGCGCGCGGGCTCATCCCAGCACCTTTCTCTCATGGACGATACACAGTGTGGGGCCTGCCTGCTTCTCTGACCGGCTGTCATCCTGCTCCTGCTGTCCCTGCGTCCATCAAGGTTCCAGGTGCTCATGTGCGTCTGTGTGAGACTCTCGCTGTGATGTGTGACCTGGGAGAGCTGCTCCATGGAGGGTGTTCAGGAAACCCTCTCAGGACGCTCTGTTCTGTGACATCCTCTGAGCAACAGGACACAGCACTGAGAGGCAGTCCCTTCCTGAGAACGGGACCCCCAGAGACGCTGCTGGTTTAGGGAAATCTGTCTTTGTGCCCTGCTAAGGGGCCGGAGCTGGAGAGCATCCAATGCGGGCGCAGCCGGCTTCCCTGGGGCCCACGGACCTCTTTCCCTGCTGGGTCAGGATCTGAGGGACCACTGAGATGCCCCCAAGGGACACGGATGTACAGGGAGCACAACCCCTGCCCAGGGAGAACTCACACGGGTTCCCAGGGTGGCATTTGGCTTTGATTGTTCTCATCATGGTAACAAATCTTAGGAGATTTATACTTTCAACACCCTTACCTGGGGGAGCCAGGTGGACCACATAACCACCGCCCACATAGAGGGCCCAGTGCGAGGAGTCGATGCGGAGAATCTCAATCAGGTCTCCAGGCTTGGGTTCTTCATGAAACTGCAAGAAAACCAGGAAGTGAGACAGATTTCATGGAGCTTTAGAGGCCCAGGTTGGGAGCTGTGCTCAGCCGAGGAATTTACTTACTGATGCTCACCCCATGGGAAGAGTGTGTGTGTGTGTAGGTGTGAAGGCAAACCCCTAATCTGTCAAACTACGGTCTGGAATTCTCTGTTATTCTTTAGATGGCCTCTTATTCTGAAAAAAATAACTTTTCTTTCTAGCCTGCTTAAATAATGAGGAAGATAAACTTAGCTCTCTGACCTTGTAGGCCAGAGACTAGATAAGCCCAATGGAATGAGAACTGTGTGGTTTTCAAGGCCGCCAGCAAGATAACCACTAAGCACACAAAGGGCTGGCTCTTCCATAAAAAGGAAAGTTCTGCTGGTAACTTTGCTTAGAATTTGGATTCAGTTCCCTAAGCCCACCGCGGTGAATAAAGTGTAACTCCAAACTCTCAGAGCGTTGCTTGGTTCTTCTCCGGTTTTTCTGTAACATCATTGGTTCCCTGCCATTCCGGGAAAACCAACCTATATGTGGCCTCTTGGCCTCCGGTATGGACTGGGTTTGAGGACCGGGGGAGCCGGATAGGCCTCCGGGAGGCGCCGCTCTGATTTAGCAGAATTGAACCGTGGGACTCCGGGTGCTCCCGGACCTCAGCCCAGGACCCAGCCAGCATCTGGAGAGAGTGGACAGACACTTCTGGACCTGTCGACAGAATCGATAAGGTAGGGGCCCCAATCCCCTACCAGTCTGGCCCACTCCAAGTGAGTGGAAGGGGAGATTGATCACCTCCCGGGAAGCCATAAAGCTCCCTCAGGAATTGAGAATTTGTTAGGAATTGGGTGGATTGTTTAAACTCTGAGTCAATGTCTGGTGAAAGTGTGTGAGTGTGGAGGGAGGGGGCCTGCCCTCTCCTCTCCTTTGTGTGGCTCCACGACTTTGGTTACGGAGTCCGAGTGGGCCCCAACCTGCGGTTCCGCGATTCATCACATGGCATAACGGTGACTCACCCCCACGTGGAGGTGACCAGGCCCGGGGTTTATACGGGTGCACCTTAGCTAAGACCAATCTAAGCTTGCAAGGGACTCGGCCAGGCGGGCATCTGCGTGAGGATCTGTGAAAACAGGTCACCCCTTCCCTTGTCTGTCTCTTGCCACCGATCATCATGGGGTTGGGACAAAGTAAACCCACTGTTCTCAATTGCATGTTAAAAAATTTTAAAAAGGAATTCAATAAAAATTATGGAATTGGGATGAATGCTGAAACATTGAGGAAATATAAGTGAACAGCTGTTTATTTATGTGGGACTAGACAATTTGCTACTGAGAAGGGGACTGGTGGGAAGACAAAGATAGTGGGGCCCTGTAACTAATAAACAGGGTTAACAAAAGGGCAAAGAAAAGGGCACTCTCCCTAGACCTGGGAGCCATCAGGACTTTGAAATTCTCCAAGAGAGGAGGAGTCTGACTCAGAGACTGGCCGAAACCTCATTGGGTTAGGAGGACTAAAGGCTGCATATTGAACTTATAAACTACAGTTTGCTAAGCAGAGGTCCAAGCCCAGTTGTATAGAGGTTAGGCTGCCTGTGTACAGCAAAACAACTTTCTCCTGTGCCTGAATACATTTTAAGGAAATTGGACAGACTGTGTTTATGACTAGAAAGAAGAACTGGCCGCAATGCACAACCCTGACAGTGGCCTGCAGAAAACTGTATAATAGACTTAGATGATGCCTGCATCTTCATGGACATGGCTCCAAAGAGACAAGGACAATTTTGCCTTGTATGGGAAGGTCAAGAATAGACTTTAGTCACCTCCCTAAGATGTTCGTATAGCCCTACTATATGTCATGTTTAATAGCAGAAGATTTAGCTGCCTGAAACGACCATAGTGCCAATATCATATTTAGTAGTATTAATATGTTGTATTAACCTTAATTCACTTACAGATTTGAATGCAGTTGTCAAAAGGGCAGGTGCCCAACAGGGCAAAGAAGAATACCCATCAGGTTTTGGTCTCCATTGAGAGACAGTTAGCAGCCTGTAGACTGTCTTGCAGGCCTGTGTAACCATGCCCATGTCAGGGGTGGCACAAACCTCAACTGTAGGAAACTGGGAAAGGCCTGTTTGGAACAGAGGGAAGTAGTGAGGTGGTGAGTACTAGCCCTCTGTTACAGAAATTACAGACCCTGTGAGGTCCTGTGACATGTAAGACCCTGTAAAGAAATAAAGCTCCTTTAGTCAAGTAAGGGGAACCCTACTACAGGGACAGCTGTAACTATCTATTTGAATATAGACACATTGTAAATTTCTTCTTGCCATTTGAAGACAGTTATATTACTCTAAAGAGTCCATGAAAAGGACAAGGAAAATTAGAAAATCTAAAAGCAGGTCAGTAAATTTTTCTCTTTATATAATTCCTCCGAAATTTGGTAATGCTTAGTAAGTCACGGCAATACATTTCTTTGCATAGATTCAATAAGATTGGTTCCTAATAGTGGTTTTATTAACCGAAAACTTTGACTGGAGTATCATGTTTTAAAAAGACCTGTCTAGACTCTGAAGACTTGAAGCCAATAAGAATGCCACAGGAAAAGCCTGGTATCCTGCTTGGGAGCCCTGAAGATGGCTGGCGCTGAAACATCAGGCCCATGCCTACCATCACTGGCAGTTGGTCAGAGTAGAAGGGGAGCAATAAGGATGCCTCTACGTCCCTGCAGAACCCCCACACACTCTGGGCCGCGATGAGTAGGAGGGCTACTGAGATGGGCCTTAAAGCCTAGAGCGTGGGCTCAGGTGGAGTTGCTACAGGTGAGGGATTCACCTAACTCAGCAGATACTGCAGGCAGGCCTGATGGCAGCTGAATGGCTTGGCTTCCTGGCCCTATGGGGCACATTAAAATTCAATCATGAAATTCCAGCCAAGATAGTCAGTTACCATTCTTGTTATATTTATGCAAATGATCAGGCCAAATTGAATACAGTAGATAAATTGGCCTTGATTTGACTTTTTTAATAAACAGAGGTAATTTTAAGGAGAAAAATTCTATTTCAATAGAGGTTATTAAAACTGAAATGTTTTCTTTCCCTTCCACTGGACCATTTGTTACAGTTTGTCTCTTCCAGATCACAAGCCCACCTCCTTCTGTGCCCAGGCTTCATCATCCCTCTGACAGACAGCAAGAATCTCTTGGCTCTGAGAGAAAACTCTGTTTCTCCTCAGCATGAAGCAGTTACAGAAGAAATTCAACATCCATTTTCCCTAAAAGAATTCGGAGCCAGGATCCTTGAGGTAATATATTAGGCAGTTAGACAGACATGAGCAGAGCAAGGACAATGGGCCAACTAGTGCTACCAGATGTAAGTATTTCCACCTCTAGGTATGTAAGACAAGGGGCATAGTCAAAGAGGTACTCACCCAAAGTCTCAGCCCCTAAAAAAGATTGGTAGACTATTTGTCCAAAAAACTTGACCCCTTTACATTTGGGTGACCTACTTGCCTCTGGGTGGCAGCAGCCCACCAGCCGAGTGATGCCCAGCCTGAGTGGAAGGTGACCCCTGACCAGACACACCCACTGCGGATCACCCTCAAGAAGACAACAGACCTGGCCAATCAACCTGCTCCAAAGAATTCAGATAACACCCTGCTGAATTCTTCCTTACACTAATCTTTCTTTCTTATATTCTCTTAAAGGCAAAATGCTCTGGTATTTCTGGATAATCATTGTTTTTATCTTTCTAGCAATTCTCATTTTGTCTTTTTATGAGTGCCGCCGGAACCCGAGGCTAGTCCCAGGAGGAGAACTCTTCTGCCCTTGCTGGAATACAGAAGCACCATAAAATTACTGCTTCCTACACAGAAAAGAAACAAGACGAAGAAGACAGGAGTTATCTGAGACCTGGGCTGCATGGGGGGGTATCTGGAAATGGCTCCTTCCATTGACAGGACCACTGTTAATGCTACTCATAGCCATTACCTTAGGACCATGTCTTCTAAATCTGTTAACTTGCTTTATCTCATCCCGTCTAGATGCCTTTAAACTTCAAATGGTCCTACAAGCCAGAAGAATTCCCTAAAAACCTCTCCAAGAGGAAGAAACAGGATGTTAACCCCTTGGACGTCGTTCTTTGTCAGCAGAAAGCAATAAAAGATCGATCGACACCCCGTTCACTGTAACATCCTGTAGTTATTGTACCACCAGGCTAAAAAGCTTGTGGGACAAGGGTGGGGGGGGGGATGTGAAGGCAAACCCCTATTCTGTAAAACTACTGTTTAGAATTCTCTGCTATTCTTTAGACGGCCTCTTATTCTGAAAAAATAACTTTGCTTTCTAGCCTGCTTAAATAATGAGGAAGATAAACTTAGCTCTCTGACCTTGTAGGCCAGAGACTAGATAAGCCCAATGGAATGAGAACTGTGTGGTTTTCAAGGCCGCCAGCAAGATAACCACTAAGCACACAAAGGGCTGGCTCTTCCATAAGAACTTTGCTTAGAATTTGGATTCAGTTCCCTAAGCCCACCGCGGTGAATAAAGTGTAACTCCAAACTCTCAGAGCGTTGCTTGGTTCTTCTCCGGTTTTTCTGTAACATAGGGAGGGGGGAACTCTTGTCCCTGTGAGTAAATAAAGCTTGGAAAAATGACCTTGGAATAGGGAGTATGAAGATTTCTACAGAATGCGTGTGTAAAACGTGTGCATGAGTATGCTGTGTGTTGCATGTATATACACTCACACTAGAATACACGCATTCATATGCAGGTGTATTGTGTGTGTGTCTGGAGGGTGATAACACAACAGCCTGTATGTAACCCCCTTCCCTGAGGCTGGGGCCCAGGCCCATCCCCCACAACATTGTCCAGTGAGTCTGAGCTTCTCTGCTCTCACACACTGACCCTCATGTCTCCATCCTGTGTTTGCCCTGGCTGTGCATGGACCCAACACTCAACACCTCACACTCTGTCCTCCCAGCCCCGGCACACGGACCCTTGAAGATGCTGAGCTGACAGACAGCAGGTGACAGCATCCTGAGGGCACCTGAGCATTGGAGAAGGCCCTCCTGTTGTTGCCCAGCTTCCTGCCCTGGGGACAGGGCTCACAGTCCCCCAGCAGGCTCTGCTGGCACATTTCCCCCATAACTGCCACCCGCCCAAGCCCAGGGGAAGGAAGCAGCACCCACATGCTCAGCTGGGGAAACTGAGGATCAGAGAGGTAGAGGGACTTGCCCAGGGACACTCAGCCGGCAGTGGCTGCACGGGGTCTTCTCTGTCCCATCTCCTCCTGGTACCCTTTCCTCCCTCCTTCCCTTGCCCACCTCCTCCCTGCTCCTTAGTATTTCTGCCCAGGGTACCACAGCTTCCTGATTTGAGAATTTTTCAGTTTATCTTCTGCTTGTGTCTGATCTCAGCTAACCTCCTGCAGCGCTCACCTCAGGCCACCCAATCTGAGACCAGGGGCCAGCTTCCCTTTGCCCTCATTCCATGCCAACATCCAACAGTGGTCATTTAGCCTGAAAGCTTCTCTGGGATTCACGTCTTTGTTCATCTTTCCCCCATGACTTTATTCAGGGCCACTCCGTTGCCGATTATGTGACCCCCACGTTTTTCTGACCAACCCCCAGACTTCTGTCCCCACCACTACTTATCCTGTGTGAACCTCCATGGTGGGTCCATTTGGTCCTGGCTGGGGTGGACAGGGGAGGGGGCTTCCTGCCTGGGCTCATGGGGGCCAGAGCTGTGGGGGTAAAAGTAGGAATGGCTCTGTGGTCTGAGCTCAACCTGGGCTCCAGCTCTGCAGAGGGAGGGTGGTGGCAGAGCTGAGGGGATACTATGAGAAACCTCAGGGATCTGTGTCTGTGTACTGTTTCCAAGTGCAGCCTGGAAACTTCTATCTCCAGCCTCAGCTCAGACCTGAACAGCAGACTCACACGTCCAACGGTTACTCAACAGGTCTACCTAGATGTCTAACTGGTCACCTCAACACCCAACCTGAGCATCAAATCCCTAATTTCCCTCCCAATCCTGCTCCTCCTCCCCTCATCTCCTCCATCCAGGTTGCCCCTCACCCAATCACAGGGGCTGTGAGCCCTGGAGGTGCTGTGGTTCAGCAGAAAGAGCAAGGAGCACTGGGCATTGAATCCTGCTTCTGCCTCTTAACTAGCTGTGCTTTGGTAAGAGGGGAAAGAGGAGAGCGGTAAGGATGTGCCCAGATCTTACATAACATGTTCTTGAGCTCTTACATGGGCCACAGACCTTGAGCATCTCTTGCCCGAGGGCTCTCTGGGGCCTTAGGAGACCTGTCATGGTCCAGGGTTGGCCCAGACTTTCCCTGACAGCACACAGGGCATCAGGAGCTGCCTTTAGGGTGGATCTTAGAGGCGAAGGATCATCCTATAGGGACAGAGGTGGCCAGAGCCCCAGAGGTCCTCCAAACATCCCTCCTTCTGCACATGGGAAACTGAGGCTAGTGAGGAAGTGACCTGTTCAAAGCCCTTGAGTGGATCAGGAAAGACCCGAGATTTGACCTCAGACATCATAGCTCCCAACCAGCAGGAATCAGGGAGCATAATTTTGCATCATTCTGGGTAAGTTTTTCTTGTCGATGCACAGTCCTGTCACCCCCACCCCAAGCAGACCTCCAGAAGGTAGAGGGAGCCCCCCACAGAGGGCCTTACCTGCCGGCTGTGGGCCTTGCCATATCTCAGATCTGTGACAAAGTGCTCACAGTTCCTGCTCAGATCACTGTACTCCATCTCCTGACCAATCATCTCCTTCCCAGAACTGAGCATCTCATTTATGGGCCGAGGTTTGTACAGGTGGTCCAAGTGGTTGTTGACCTTATAGAAGAAGTTTCTCACCACTTCCACCAGGAGCTCCCTTTTCACCACCCCTAAGCCATTGGGGGCGCCAGCCTCAGAGTTCTCCCCTGGAATCAGACACAGGAGTATCAGGAACTGCAGGGGAGGCCAGGGAGGGAGAGAGAAGAAACTAGACAGGGAGGAAGGGCCAGGGGATCACACTATTGAGCTTTGGTGTCTGTCCCTTCACCAATGTGATTGGAGGATTCATGGATTTTGCTCTTTTTACTAAGTGAGCTGTGTATACTTTTCAACCTCATGAATACTGTGATGGTCAGTGGCTGCTATTTTGCTCCCTATGTGAATGGACATCATCTAGTTGACCAATCCACCTTATTGATCCTTCTTCTTTATGAGACCGGGCCCCCCAGAGACGCTGCTAGTTCTGTGAAATCTGTGTATGCACCCAGCTAAAGGACCGGAGCTGGAGAGCGTCCAATTCGGACCCAGCCTGGCTTCCCTGGGGCCCACGGACCTCTTTCCCTGCTGGGTCAGGACCCGAGAGACCACTCAGATGCCCTCAAGGGACACGGATGTAGGGGGACCCAAGCACAGCTCAGGGAGAAACTGGCACAGGTTTATCAGGGTGGCATTTGGCCTTGAATTGTTCTCATCATGTTAACAAATCTCTGGAAAGTTATACTTTCAACACTGCTTACCTGGGGGAGCCAGGTGGACCACATATCCATCGCCCACATAGAGGGCCCAGTGCGAGGAGCCAATGCGGGGAATCTCAATCAGGTCTCCAGGTTTGGGCTCTACATGAAACTGCAAGGAAACAGCCAGGAAGGTGAGACAGATTTCAGGGAGCTGCAGAGGCCCGGGCTGGAAGCTGCGCTCTGCCTAGGGCCGTGGTCGGCAAATTGCGGCTTGCGAGTCACATGCGGCTTTTTGGCACCTTCAGTGTGGCTCTTTCACAAAATACCACATGCGGGCGCACAAGTACGGTGTGTACAGTGCGATTGAAACTTCGTGGCCCATGCACAGAAGTCAGTATTTTGTGGAACAGCTGGTATTTTGAGGGAGAGCCACACTGAAGGGTCGAAAGAGTCGCATGTGGCTCGCAAGCCGCGGTTTGCAGAGCCACAGGTTGCCGACCACTGGCCTAGGGATTTGCTTACTGATGCTCACCCCATGGGAAAAATGTGTGCGTGCCTGGCGGAGGGGGGTGGGGGGGACTCTTGTCCCCTGTAGGGTCCTCAGCCTGCTGTGACTTCTAGAGGTTACCCTGTGACTAACTGGAAGCCTGGAAAAATGACCTTGTGCATTGGGAGAGTAAATATTTTTCCAGAATGTGTGTGTAGTATATGTGTGTCTCTGTGTATTGTGCATGGCATGTTTTCTGTTTTTGTGCACATGCACACACACTAGGGGGCAGACATGCATATGCAGGTGTACAGTGTATGTGTCAGGAGGGTGATAACACAGCAGCCTGTATGTAACCCCCTTCCCTGAGGCCGGGGCCCAGGCCCATCCCCCATAACACTGTCCAGGTGAGTCTGAGCTTCTCTGCTCTCACACTCTGACCCTCATGTCTCCATCATGTGTTTGTCCTGGCTGTGCATAGCCCCAACACCCACCACCTCACACTCTGCCCTCCCAGCCCTGGCACACGGACCCTCAAAGATGCTGAGCTGACAGACAGCAGGTGACAGCATCCTAAGGGCACCTGAGCCTTGGAGAAGGCCCTCCTGTTGTTGCCCAGCTTCCTGCCCTGGGCTTAGGGCTCACAGTCCCCCAGCAGGCTCTGCTGGCACATTCCCCCCGTAACTGCCACCCTCCCAAGTCCAGGGGAAGGAAGCAGCACCCACGTGTTCAGCTGGGGAAACTGAGGATCAGAGAGATAGAGGGACTTGCCCAGGGACACTCAGCTGGCAGTGGCTGCACTGGGTCTTCTCTGCCTTGGCGCTTCCTGGTCCCCTTTCCTCCTTCTCTGCCTTATCACCTCCTCCCTGCTCCTCAGTGTCCCTGTCTAGGGCTCCACAGCTTTTAGAATTGAGATTTTTCAGTTTTTCTTCCTGTCTGTGTCTGATCTCAGCAAACCTTCTGCAGTGCTCACCCTAGGCCTCCCAATTTGAGACCAGAGGCCAGCTTCCCTTTGCCCTCATTCCATGCCAACATCCAACAGTGGTCATTTAGCCTGGAAGCTTCTCTGGGATTCACGTCTTTGTTCATCTTTCCCCCATGACTTTATTCAGGGCCACCCCTTGCCGATTATGTGACCCCACGTTTTTCTGACCAACCCCCAGACTTCTGTCCCCACCACTACTTATCCTGTGTGAACTTCCGTGGTGGGGCCACTTGATCCTGACTGGGGTGGACAGGGAGAGGGCTTCCTGCCTGGACTTCGGGGGTCAGAGATCTGGAGGTGAAAGTGGGAATGGCTCTGTGGTCTCGGCTCTCCCTGGGCTCCAGCTCTGCAGAGGGAGGTGGTGGCAGAGCTGAGGGGAGACGATGGGAAACCATGGCCTCAGGGATCACTGTGCTCTGTGTACTGTTCCCAAGTGCAGCCTGGAAACTTCAGCCCCACTCAGCCCTGGACTCGACTCACGCATCCAACTGCTACTCAACATCTCATCCTGGATGTCTAACTGGTCACCTCAACACCCCAACTGAGCATCAAATCCTTAATTTCCCTCCCAAACCAGCCCCTCCTCCCCTCATCTCCTCCATCCAGGCTGCCCGTCACCCAATCACAGGGGCTGTGAGCCCTGGAGGTGCTGTGGTTCAGCAGAAAGATCAGGGAGCACTGGGGATTGAATCCTCTTGTGTCTCTTACTAGCTGTGTTTTGCTAAGAGGGGGAAGAGGAGAGCAGTAAGGATGTGCCCAGATCTTACATAACATGTTCTCGAGCTCTTACATGGGCCACAGACCTTGAGCATCTCTTGCCCGAGGGCTCTCTGGAACCTTAGGAGGCCTGTCATGGTCCAGGGTTGGCCCAGACTTTCCCTGACAGCACACAGGGCATCAGGAGCTGCCTTTAGGGTAGATCTTAGAGGTGAAGGATCCTAAAGGGACAGAGGTGGCCAGAGCCCCAGAGGTCCTCCAACATCCCCTCCTTCTGCACATGGGGAAACTGAGGCCAGAGAGGAAGTGACCTGTTCAAAGATCCTGAGTGGATCAGGAACAAACCTGAGATTTCTTCTCTGACATCGTAACTGCCAGCCAGTAGGGAGCAGAGAGCATAATTTTGCATCATTCGGGGTAATTTTTTCCGGGTAGTCAGCCTTGTCACATGATGGCAAGTAAACCTCCAGAAGGTAGAGGGAGCCCCCAAGAGTACCTTACCTGCCGGCTGCGGGCCTTGCCATATCTCAGTTCGGTGACAAAGTGCTCACAGGTCCTGCTCAGATCACTGTGCTCCATCTCCGTACCAACCATCTTGTTCCCAGATCTGAGCATCTCCTTTATGGGCCGTGGTTTGTATAGGTGGTCCAAGTGGTTGTTGACCTTATAGAAGCAGTTTCCCACCACTTCCACCAGGAGCTGCCTTTTCACCACCCCTAAGCCGGTGCGGGCGCCAGCCTCAGAGTTCTCCCCTGGAATCAGACACAGGAGTATCAGGATCTGCAGGGGAGGCCAGGGAGGGAGAGAGAAGACACACGACAGGGAAGAAGGGCCAGGGGATGACACTATTTAGCCTTGGTGTTTGTCCCTTCACCAATGTGATTTTACTCTTTTTATTTAATGATTTTTCAAGCTAATGAATATTTAGAAGGTCACAAGCTGCAATTATGCTCCATTGTATGAATGGACATTGTCTGGTTGACCAATCTACCTTCACTGATCCTTTTCCTTTATGAGACTTGGACACCAAAATACATTGCTGGATTAATCTCTCTGCCAGCCCAGCTGAAGGGCATGGAGCTTGAGAGCTGCAAATGTTGATGAAGCCCACATTTTCCAGGGCCCACTGTCCTCTTTCCCAGCTATGCCTGGACCTGAGGGACCACTCAGATGCCCCCAAGGGACACGGATGTAGGTTGAGCTCAAGCACTGCCCAGGGAAAAACCAACATGGGTTCCCAGGGTGGCATTTGGCTTCAAATTGTTCTCATCATGTTAACAATACACTGGAAAGTTACACTTTCAACACCACTTACCTGGGGGAGCCAGGTGGATCACATAACCATTGCCCACATACAGGGCCCAGTGTGAGTTGAAAAATCGAAAAATCTCAATCAGGTCTCCAGGCTTGGGCTCTGCACGAAACTGCAAGAAAACAGCCAGGAAGGTGGAACAGATTTCAGGGAGCTGCAGACGCCCGGGCTGGGAGCTGCAGCTCCACCTAGGAATTTGCTTACTGATGTTCATCCCATGGCAAGAATGGTTGTATGTGTGTGTGTGTGTGGTGGTGGGAGGGGGGGTAGAGGTGGGGGACTTTTTCTTCTGTGTGTCCTCAGCCTGCTGTAGCTTCTACAGGTTTCCCTGTGAGTAACTAGAAGACTGCAAAAATGACCTTGTGCATTGAGAGAGTGAAGATTTGTCCAGAATCTGTGTGCAAGACATGAGTGTGTTTGTGTATATTGTGCATGGATATAGTGCATGTAGATGCACACACGCTAGGATGCAGACATGCATATGCAGGTGTACTGTATGTGTCTGGAGGGTGATAACCCAACAGCCTGTATGTAACCCCCTTCCCTGAGGCCGGGGCCCAGGCCCATCCCCCACAACATTGTCCAGTGAGTCAGAGCTTCTCTGACCCTCATGTCTCCATCATGTGTTTGCCCTGGCTGTGTATGGCCCCAACACCCACCACCTCACACTCTGCCCTCCCAGCCCTGGCACACGGACCCTTGAAGATGCTGAGCTGACAGACAGCAGGTGACAGCACCCTAAGGGCACCTGAGCATTGGAGAAGGCCCTCCTGTTGTTGCCCAGCTTCCTGCCCTGGGCACAGGGCTCACAGTCACCCAGCAAGCTCTGCTGGCACATCTCCCCCATAACTGGCACCCTCCCAAGCCCAGGGGAAGGAAGCAGCACCCACGTGTTCAGCTGGGGAAACTGAGGATCAGAGAGGTAGAGGGACTTGCTCAGAGACACTCAGCTGGCAGTGGCTGCATTGGGTCTTCTCTGCCCCACCATGGTCTTCTTTTATCCCTTCCTGTCTTATGACCTCCTCCCTGCCCCTCAGTGTCCCTGTATAGGGCACCACAGCTTCCTGATTTGAGAGTTTTCAGTTTATCTTCCTGTTTGTGTCTGACCTCAGCAAACCTCCTGCAGCGCTCACCCCAGGCCGCCCAATCTGAGACCAGGGGCCAGCTTCCCTTTGCCCTCATTCCATGCCAACATCCAACAGTGGTCATTTAGCCTGGAAGCTTCTCTGGAATTCACTTCTTTGTTCATCTTTCCCCCATGACTTTATTCAGGGCCATCCTGTACTTGATTATGTGACCCCAGGTTTTCCTGACCAACCCCCAGACTTCTGTCCCACCCACTCCAGGGCCTGTGTGAGCCTCCTGGGTGGGGCCATTGGTCCTGATGGGGGTGGATAGGGAAGGGGGCTTCCTGCCTGGGCTGCTGGGGCCAGAGCTCTGGGGGTGAAAGTGGAATGGCTCTGTGGTCTGGACTCAACCTGGGCTCCAGCTCTGCATCGGGTGGATGGTGGCAGAGCTGAGGGGAGACAATGGGAAGCCATGGCCTCAGGGATCACTGTGCTCTGTGTACTGTTCCCAAGTGCAGCCTGGAAATTTCTATCTCCAGCCCCACCTCAGACACCAACAGCAGACTCGCTCGTCCAACTGCTACTCATCAGCTCTACCTGGATGTCTAACGGGTCACCTCAAACACCCCACTGAGCAAGAAATCCTTAATTTCTATCTGCAACCTGCTCTACTTCCTGTCATTCCTCTATATCTATGCACCCCGATAACCCAATCACTGGTCCTCCAGCCCTGGAGGTGCTGTGGTTCAGCAGAAAGACCAGGGAACCACTGGGTTTGAATCCTTAGTAGCTTGTGTTGGTAAAACGGCAAGGAGGAAGGGGTTAAAGTTGAGCGAGAGCTTATATTAATTTGGGCAGATAGGGAAGGAGGCAGCACCCAGTTGTTCATACGGCGACACTGAGGCCCGGGCAGGAAGTGCCCTGCAAAAGAATCTGAGTGGATTAGGAGAAGACCTACGTTTTTCTCTCAGATATGACTCCCAGCCAGTGGAACCGCAGAGCCCACGTTTGCATCATTCAGGGTAATTTTCATCCGGGTAGTGAGGTCTGTCACCCCCACCCCAAGCAGACCGCCAAAGGGAGAGGGAGCACCCCCAAGAGGGCCTTACCGGCCGGGTGCGGGCCTTGCCATATCTCAGATCAGTGACAAAGTGCTCGCAGTTCCTGCTCAGATCACTGTACTCCATCTTCTTACCAACCATCTCCTTCCCAGAACTGATCATCTCCTCTATGGGCCGTGGTTTGTACAGGTGGTCCAAGTGGTTGTTGACCTCATAGGAGCAGTTTCCCACCACTTCCATGAGGAGTTGCCTTTTCACCTCCCCTAAGCCGGTGGGGGCGCCAGCCTCAGAGCTCTCCCCTGGAATCAGACACAGGAGTATCAGGAACTGCAGGGGAGGCCAGGGAGGGAGAGAGAAGACACAAGACAGGGAAGAAGGGCCAGGGGATGACACTGTTGAGGTTTGGTTCTATCCCTTCACCAACGTGATTGGAGGAGTCAATGATTTTGCTCTTTTCCTTAACAAGCTGTGAATACTTTTCATGTTAATCAATGCTGTGATGGTCAGTGGCTGCCACTGTGTTCCATTATATGAATGGACATCATCTAGTTGACCAAGTCCCTAGTATTGGCTGGTCCATAGCTTATCCACGATAAACAACGGTAGTAAATTGTATTTGTTCATCTTTGCACTTGTGTGTTTCATAAAGAGATCAAAGTTGTTTTAGTCCCCACTGTGTTTCAGACTCTGCTGTGCAAATTTCATATATTCCCTCACTTATTCTCCCTTTGAAATTCATGGTAAATTCTCTCATTTCCATTTGACAACAGATATCCGACCCTGAGGCATCATCAGCCTTTTCTGGCCCAGCTCTGGCCACATGGAGAGTCCACACAGCACTTCCAGCTGGTGGCGTCCAAATCCCATTGAGCCTGGAGCCCAGGTTTTGCTCTCTAAGAGGAGGGAACTAAGGAGCACTCGAACCAGCAGGCTCCCTTTATGTGCTGAGTCTGAGGCTGAGGCTGCACTGAGCACCCGTCCTTGAGGAAACACCACCTGCACTCACACAGCAGGACCCGGTCCTCACACTCACGCTCCCTGTTCCCAGCCTCCTAAGCGTCGTCTGCATTAGGTGGGTTTCGCTTACTATTTTCCATCCATTCTGACAGTTTTCCACTCTGTCAGTGTAGGTGACAGCGTATAGAACCTGGTCAGTGACAAGCAGATTCTTCTGATCGTGAGGAGGTTTCTGTCCAGCGAGAACACAAACGCTTGCTGTCCGAGGTGTGGGTGCCATTGCTCTGCAGGGCACCAGCCCCTGTGCTCCCAGCCCGCGGTCTCATCCCAGCACCTTGCTTTCATGGATGATATACACTTCTGGGTCCTGCCTGCTCCTCTGACCTGCTGTCATCCTGCTTCTGCTGTCCCTGCGTCCATCAAGGTTCCAGGTGCTCGTGTGCGTCTGTGTGAGACTCTCTGTGATGTGGGACCTGGGAGAGCTGCTCCGTGGAGGGTGTTCAGGAAACCCTCTCAGGACGCCCTGTTCTGTGACATCCTCTGAGCAACAGGACACAGCACTGAGAGGCAGTCCCTTCCTGAGAGCGGGACCCCCAGAGACACTGCTGGTTTAGGGAAATCTGTCTGCGAGCCCAGCTAATTGGCTTGAGCTGGAGAGCGTCCAATGCGGGTGCAGCCCGGCTTCCCTCGGGCCCAGGGACCTCTTTCCCTGCTGGGTCAGGACCTGAGGGACCACTGAGATGCCTGCAAGGGACACGGATGTACAGTGAGCACAAGCCCTGCCCAGGGAGAAACCAACTCGGGTTCCAGGGTGGCATTTGGTGTTGAATTGTTCTCATCATGGTAACAAATCTTTGGTAATTCCTACTTTCAACCCCCCTTACCTGGGGGAGCCAGGTGGATCACATGACCATCGCCCACAAAGAGGGCCCAGTGTGAGTAGCCAATTCGGAAAATCTCAATCAGGTCTCCAGGCTTGGGTTCTTCACGAAACTGCAAGAAAACAGCCAGGAGAGTGAGACAGATTTCAGGGAGCTACAGAGGCCCGGGCTGTGAGTTGTAGTTCCACCTAGAGATTTGCTTACTGATGCTCACCCCATGGAAAGAGTGTGGTTGTGGGGGTGCGCGGGGGGAGGATGTGGGAGGGAAGGACTCATGTTTCCTGTGAGGTCCTTAACCTGATGTAGCTTTCAGAGATTTCCCTGTGAGTAACTGGAAACCTGGAAAAAATACCTTGTGAATTGAGAGAATGAATATTTGTCCAGACTCTGTGTGTAATGCATATGTGTATGTGTGTATTGTGCATGGATATGTTGTATGTTGCATGTACATGCACACACATTAGGATGCAGACAAGCATATGCAGTATTTGGAGAGTGATAACACAACAGCCTGTATGTAACCCCCTTCTCTGAGGCTGGGGCCCAGGCCCATCCCCCACAACATTGTTCAGGTGAGTCTGAGCTTCTCTGACCCTCATGTCTCCATCATGTGTTTGCCCTGGCTGTGCATGGCCCCAACACCCACCACCTCACAGTCTGCCCTCCCCGCCCCAGTAGACGGACCCATGAAGATGCTGAGCTGACAGACAGCAGGTGACAGCATCCTGAGGGCACCTGAGCATTGGGGAAGGCCCTCCTGTTGTTGCCCAGCTTCCTGCCCTGGGGACAGGGCTCACAGTCACCCAGCAGGCTCTGCTGGCACATTTCCCCCATAACTGCCACCCTCCCAAGCCCAGGGGAAGGAAGCAGCACCCACATGCTCAGCTGGTGAAACTGAGGATCAGAGAGGTAGTGGGACTTGCCCAGGGACACTCAGCCGGCAGTGGCTGCACGGGGTCTTCTCTGCCCCGACACTTCCTGGTCCCCTTTCCTCCCTCCCTCCTGCCTTACCACCTCCTCTCTGCTCCTCAGTGTCCCTGCCCAGGGCACTGCAGCTTTTTGATTTGAGAATTTTTCAGTTTATCTTCTGTGTGTGTCTGATCTCAGCTAACCTCCTGCAGTGCTCACCCCAGGCCGCCCAATCGA